TCTTGGGGGATGTGAAATGGAGCTGGGGGGGGAGAGGGAAGGAGAAGGAGTCTGGTTTAGATCGCATGAGTACCCCACCATCCCAGCCCTCCCGTCAGTGTCCTCCCTCTTGTCCTGGGCAAGGAGGCTGGAGACTGGCCCTGCCGCTGCGCAGGGAGGCCAGCACCCGCGGGAGACAGAGAGGCTGGGGCTGAGGAGACAGTTGTTACTTTCTACTGGTGCCCAAAGGCACACGTGCCAATGGTGTTATACAGGGAGCTCCCCCGGAGTTTGTTATCTTCCTTCGTGTTTTATCATCCGGTACCTCGACCCACAGGAAGGTGCTGGGTCCTCTTCTGGCAGATCATCAAGTAGTGACTTTGGCACTCGTGGGAGTATTTCTGCACCCATTTCTGTTCAGTCTCAGGCCGCCCAGTTGCGTGGTGCTGGATGCGCTCATGAGGAATTGGGGAGTGGTAAATGCTTTCTCTGAACCCTGACAGCCCCCTGGATGTATAGGCACAGAGGGAGTTAATAGCAGAGATGAGCATCATTTGTTGTGCATTAGGAGCAAGGCAAACAAGTGAATTTAGAGAATGGATGTTCTGTGGCAATGTCAGATCTGCCTCTTCGGTTATACAGTTGCTGCTGTGAACGTGTATTGGCAATTGGTTGTGTTACCAGCTCTGCTTTTTAGTAAGGCTACTTAGCACTTCTCTGCTGGTTTAGATCATCTTCTCAGCTGTTTATAGTTGCACTATGCTTAGCAGTATTTGGGATTAAATTTTTCATATTGCAGGTTGTCTCGAGCTGTTTGATTCCCCCCACCCCGGAACCATTTTTAATTTTTTTTTTTTTAATTTCTACTCAGTATTTTCTGTTATTTTGCCTGTGATAATGTTTCCCCCTGCTCTTGCCGCTTTCCGGTTCACTCTCAGTATCCACTACTGGATTCTTCATACCACTGTCATGCCTGGATCTTCTGGCTACTGCATCCAGCTTCAGCCCTTCCCAAACCTTTTATTGAGATTTGCAGTTTATAATTTGGTCTCGATCCCCCATGCCCTGAACAGAACAGCTGCCTCCTCTGTGCTGCCCGAGGGCTGGTACCTCCGTAGGTCATTCGGGGGCTCTTTGCAGCCCCTCTTCTGTCCAGTAACTTCAAGTTTGCCAACCAGGTTGAGCAGGGCTATGCCAGGGGCATTGTTACTTGTCTCAGCATGGCTGGAGCATTGCGGGATTGGGCTTCACTCTCGTGTTCCTGCGTTGCCACCCACTCGCCCTGCCTGTTGGGGGGACGTGCAGGCTGTGAGGGGATGGGGTGCGTTCACGAAGGGGTTGCAAAGTAAAACACAGTCTACCAAGAGTGTACATCCTGTACCCTCCTTCTCCCCGAGGGTGCCGGTACGGCGGGGTATGAGTGTACCTCCATGGAATCAGAAGCAGCGGTTTCTTGACTCGGAGGTCACCGCTGTTACAAATTTCAAACCCAGGTCCCAGAGCACTGCAGCGCAGGAGAATTTCAATGAGAATGGCTTTATAATCTGGACAAAACTAAGGGCTTTTGCCATTGCTGAGGAATGTTTGGGATGTCTTTGGCCAGAAAATTCGCCCTCCAATTCAACTCAAGGAAAAACCCAATATGGGAAATGTCACCTTAGATAAGTGAAATGTGGACAAGTTCTGAACAACCCGTAGCAAAATGCTACAATGGAGAGCTCGAAGCTATCTTAATTGCCTGGAGCACTACCATTCATTCCCCTGCCTGTCTGGTACGTTCTTGTGCTCGTATGGTCACTGTTAATTCATGCTGGATTGTTCTAATTAATGCCGATGAACTGTTCAGCCAAGAAGACTGCGGAGCTCTGCAGCTGCAGAGAGGGCTGGAGGAACATCTCCTGGTTTCTTTTTCTGTTTTTTTCCTCCCTTGTGGACAGGCACCGTTTCTGTCCATAACCAATAGGAGCCAATTTTCTGTTTCATAACAGGAAAATAGTAATGTCAGGACGCCCTCCTTACCCAAAGCCTTCTCCTTGAAGATTGCTCCTCTTTGCTTTCCTAATTGCCGCTGCTCAGCTGGAGGTAGTGCGCGTCTTCCAAACACATTATTTTGCTATGCTGGTACTTACCAAAGGGGAAAAAAAAAAAAGAGTATGAGAGAATATTGCTTGCATTCCTCACTTTAACCCTTTCTGTTCTGATGTGAGACGTTTTTCTCTAGCACAGGATGTTTTGCTGTTGGCAATACATGCTTTTTGGTCTGAAGCTTGGGGTGTAATGGAGCTCTGATGTGAAGAACACCTAGAAATCATTTCTGCTGGAGTCCGAGGATGCCTCTAAAATGTGTTCATCTAAGGCATCCTCTTTGGAGTCACTGCACTCGCATAATGATCACCTACAATAAGACAGGAGTTGCTGAATTGGTGTGTGAAGTATGGGTGGTTTGGGGACCAAAATGTTTTGGCACCAGGTTGGCTGAAAACTTAATGCTTGGAGTTGCCCTTCCTTGAAGACTGGTGGGTTTTGGAGCCTGCGAGAGCAGAGCCTCGGGGAGGGCGCTGGAGCCATGCTCCACGTGTTTCTTAGGGGCTGCGGAGTTGGATAAGGATGGCAGATGTTTGGCTCGCTGCATCTCTGCTCACAGGCTGTACTCTTGCAGGTCAGTAACCAGGAGAATTCACAGAAATGCTGTTTTCTTCAGAAGCTTCAGAAATGAGCAGGTCTGAGCCTTTTGTGTGCCACCCCACTGACAGAGGCAGGGTGGGTTACCATCCTGGCAGCCAGGACAGGTTACCTAAATCCTTTGGGGCTTTTTTGGGGGGAAAAACAAACAAACAAACAAAAAAAACCCCAAACCCCAGTTGCCTGGAGTAGAGCTAGGATGGAGTAACGATATATGTGGGCACAAGGCTGCCGGGAGAGGCGTGCTGTCCAGAATTTCCTGGTGGCATGGAACAAAGGAGGAGCTCGGGCAGAGCAGGGATCCCAGGAGAGCTGCAGAAAGCAAAGTTGAAGCCAGAAGATTAACCCCGTAGGTCTGGAGGAACCATGCAAAGCCAAAAGAGCAGCCTTTTGCTTCGTCTCTGAGTGTACTCCTGTGGCTTCAACCTCAGAAATCGCTTTGCTTAACCACGAAAGGGAAGGGGAGGCTGTCTCTGCTCAGGCTCTGGAGTTCATGGCCAGCTACCTTTCAGTGACCGCCTTTGCTTTCTGCTCCTTAACATCTGGAAAAGAAAAAGGGTGGAGTATGTAGTTTCCTGATATATCAGGAGGGTCTCATCCTGTTCTTGAGCTGCGTAATGTGCTGCTGTCCAGATCCTGGGCACCTGCCTGCTCGTGCCTTTATTTTTGCTGGTTCCACCAAGAGAAACAGTTATGGTGGCATCAGCCTGGTGGGTATCTCTAGCCAAGCCTCTCCTTAGTCCTGCCTTCATGCTGCCGGTGTGGGATGAAATGTGGGGGGGATCTGAGGTATGTGTTTGACTTGTGGAAGTGGTTTTTACTGTTTGTGTTTGGGTGCTGCTCTGAGACCCAGGGCAGATCGGGGCAGAGGCAGGCAGATGTTTCATGAGAAATGGTTTCTGCACCACCTGGTCTCTTCCTTTCTCATAATGGTCAGGTCTGCAACAAACCAGCAGTGACAGGCAGAGCATTTCACCTCTAATGAAGCTCCAGCAAAGAGGGTTTTCAGTCCCGTGGGAAGCAATGATTCAGCTCCCAAGGATCATGCAAGCTCGGGAAGGTGCCAGACATGCTTAGCATGGAAATCACAGTTTGTTAAACATGGAGTCAGCTACCTCCTTGGGGAGGTCCAGCTCTCCTTGGAGGGTTTTCTGCTGCTGGATGTCTTCATGTCTGGAATTGCAGGTATTTGCAAGTAGCCCGAGGATTCAGAGCGAAGCAGAATCCCATTTGCTGTGTCGTTTTCTTCGTGTATCTTACTTAAGAATAGATAAGGTGTGAGGATATTTCTATTTCCTTATCTCAGATGATTGTAGAAAGGTATTTTCTTTTACCCTGCGTTGGTTCCACCTGAGTTTGCAGACAGGCAGAGTTAACAAGTCAGAAAACGATCTGAGGAGGTGACTGAAGGCTTGGTGGTTGCCAAGTCTTGTGGTGGGACCGAACCTTCCTTGCTGGGGCAGTGCTGATGCCAACAGCACGTCCCCTGGGGCTGGCGTTGTCCTCTGCAGTAGTGTGGTGTGGCTTGGAAGGGCATGCCCATGGGTCACAGCTGCACGCTTTGGGCGCAAACATTCAAATCCAGGTAATTGCATCTGGTCTTCAGGATAATCCCAGTACAGATCCGTGCCTCTTCCCCCCCACCCCCCCCAGTCCCTTCCCCTCCCCACCATAGCCTGACCGAGTTCTGGACTGGTTGTAGAAATCTTGATTTCCTGAGGGTGCCGCTTTATTATGGCTTGCTTAGAGGTGAGGTTTTATCCTACTTCATGTGAGCCCCTTGCTCCCATTCCTGGTACCCACTGCTGCCTGTGCCCATACTGCCGGGCTCCGCACCTAAGGAAGCCTCCGGGCAGTGCACAGGGGTTGGGGCGGGCACATGGTTGGGCTTGTGTTGGCAAAACCCAGCAAGTGGTCTTGGGGAGGGGACATGTGAGTGGTCAGTGGGCTTTAGGGGGTGTGTTTGGATGAAGATGGGCGCAGGAGGAAGCATGGTGGCTCTGCCTGTGCTGCCGGTTTGGCTTCACAGTGGTGGGGGGATGGGCAGTGTGGTGGGGACCTCAGCCTTTGAGTGAGCTGGGGATGCTCATAGCCTGCAAGCACGAAGGCAGGCAACTATAAAGTTGTGAGGTGTGAGCAGCAGGTCGAATGCATTATTACTTTTTTTTCCTGGTTGTAAAGTCTTTCTTCCCTCGTTCCCCTCATTTCAAAAGCTGATATTGTTACCTAATCCACATTGCTAAAATTCTTCTGTGTTAGAGGATCAGCTTTTCTGTGGGAAGACTACTGTACTTCTCTCTAATATTGACTGTCTTTCTTTCTCTTGTTTCTCTTCTTAGATCTACAATGAGAATAGAAACCTGTTTGAAGTCAAGGAGAATGTGCCCAGGAAATTAGTGGAGAAGGTTGCAGGAGACATTGAGAGCCTCTTGGCCAAGAAAGTCCGTGCTTTAAAGGTAAGGTGATGGGCCTGTGGCGTGATCCTTTGTTACGTTTGGTTTAAAAAAGAGGATTGGTGCTGGCGTAGCATTACGAGCTCAGCTTCAAAGTAATTTCTATGGTTGTGTGGCCTTTTCTGGGAACTGCATCCTGCAGTTGCACAGGTTCATATGGAGTGTATCTGGGGTGTGAGGCAAGAATGTATCACGTGAGGATCTACTTGAGGTAGAAGTGAGGTATCTTCTTGCTTTTTATCTCCTCCCACCATCATGTGAACACCTGAAGGTGCTGTCACAAGAATACAAGTGACAGCAAAAGCCTGGCAGCAACTTTGGCCCAGTCATTTGACTGGTGGTGTGGTGAGCAGGAGCAGAGGTACTGCGGTGTCTCTGCAATAGCTCATGGAAGCATTTCAGACAAGTAGGGGTTTTTTTTCCTGTTTAGGAGATGATGCACTGAAATGTTTGTGCTGGTGCCTGGCACTTGAATCCTGTGATTGACTGCGTGTGTGAGTTGCCCTCGTACATTTCCAATCTATTGTCCCATTTTGTAGCACTCCTTTTAATATGAATTCATTTTATCTGTAGTGGAGCGAGGTAACCAGCTCATGGTGCCGGCCAGTAAAACCCAGTGGTGGCTGTAACGAGACGGCAGTGGGGCTGTGCTCTGCTACAGCGTTCTCTGCTACCAGGGCAGAGACAAGTAACTGCCTTCCTGGAGAGATGGAGATACCCCCTCTGCTGCAGAGGGGTATGGGAGCCACGTTAGAGTTTCACTTGCAGAAGCTGTAGCATCTTCTCAAATACCTGACTGTAGTGAGCAGGATGAAGCTGTGCGATGGACATCTGGCATGCATTGCAGCTTGATTGACCAGAAGCACTTTTGTGGGGCGCTAGACAAGGGGAAGGCTTGGAGCGGGTACCATAGCTTTTGTGTCTGCAGAGGGACTATAGCCAAAAAGACTTGGTCACCCCTCAACCTGATCAGCACAGGAAAAAGTAGCATGGTGGGGGAAAAGGTGTTGCAATAACTGAGGTGTAACTAAGGCAGCGAGAGTTTGGAAATGACCTGTCCCCATAGTACAAATAACCTTGTTCGTCTTCCAGTTTGACTTTCTTTTTGTTGGGTTTTTGGGCAGGACTGGTTAGTGCGCTGTTGAGGGCTTGCCTGATACTGGACCTGAGGCAGAGGAGTGATTCTGGCAGCACTGGTTAGATAAGAGCACTTGGTGTTGTTTTATTGTAGTGGAAACAATGATCCGTTGACCTGGATTAGTCCCTTCAGGAGGACTCATTCAGAGCGCAGTTGCTGGATGGAGCAGTCTCTTACACCAGCTTGCATGTGAATTCTTGGCATCTTGGATTGGCGGTACTGACAACAAAATCTGGAAATGGGGAAGTTGCTGGGAGAAGGAGAAATTGGATCCTCTGAATTTCTTCCATGTTGCGCTAAGCTCTTTCAAAGCAGTGGGGCTCTCACAGCTTCTTCCACTTTCCAGCCTGTGTTTTCTTCTGTCTCAACTCTCCCCTTAATTGAATCATCTCTCCTGGAGTCATTTCATCCCCTTCTCTCATGACTCACAAGAGTGACGATGACTTCTTGAAATACATTTTTCAGCATCTGAGTCAGGTGGGAATCCGTGTATCAGCGAGGACAGGTGAGAAGGGAGAAATGGATCCTCTCCTTGAAGTATGAACTGCCACGTCGCTCATGTACTCACTCTGCTGAAAAGATGCCTCCTGTTCCCTTTGCTGCAGGAGCGAGAAGGGATATTGTCTGTGCTTTGGTGAAGCTTTGTAGGAGGGTGGTAGCTAGCCTTTGGGCACGCGTGATGGACGCACACTTCAAGAGTGCTGTTCCGATTAGGCGGTGATTCAGTCACAGCCATCAAAGAGCCTGTTTTCCTCTGTTTCCAAGTGAAAATGTTAATGTGTCTTTATTAAAGTTAAACTGCATACAGAGCACTTATCAATAATACATAGTTTCTTACCTTGTGTGTTGCATTTCTAAGAAGCAGAAATCAAGCACTAGGAAGCCAAACTGGGCTGTCTGGCCCTGAGAGCCGTGGTGCAACGCTGTGGTGTGGGTCTGGCACTAGGAGGACACTGGGATTTCACACGTGATTTTCGGAGGAGCGCCGGAGCCAGGGGTGTGTAGCAAAGAGAGTAATTGCTTCCTAAAATAACAGTCATCTACAAGGGGCTGGTTATTTGGATGCTCTCCCTCCCTTTTTGTTCCAGACCATCATATCTGATGACAGTCTCATCATGGGACAGAAAAATTCCTAGGAAGATCTTTTTGCAATACCCACCTGTTCCAGCTGGCACTAGAGAAGAGCATCTACAGCTGGCTCCTGGGGCACTTCTACCCCGTGTTCCATGCAGTGGCCTCTATTTGACATGGAATTTTATCACCACTTACTGCCCTTTTCCCCCAGCATCCTCCAATCTCCTTTCTCCACGACGATTTCGTTGCTTCAAGCCTGCCCTCACAGCCTCCTTTGGGCGCTGTAGTTCCAGCTTCCTTTTATTCCCAAGCTTTAGCTGGAGGGGGAGGTAGAAGCGATGGTCTTCAATACCAAAAGGACAGCTACTCTCCTTTGAAATGAAGTAAAAGATATCTCTAAGGTGAAGTAACTCCTTAAGGAGATGATTTTAAATTTATGCAGCGTATTGCATTGTGGGGAAGTTCCAGGGATCTCGCTACAGGTGGGCTGTATGGAAACAGTCACTGTGTTCCTGACTGGGTAGAAGTTTAAGGGGCTGCTCTTGTCCACGCTCATGAGCTTGCCCTTGTTAGGGCTAAGAAAGACATCTCCTTTCACGTGTGGAAAGGAAGAAGGTGGCAGGTTGGCAAATGACTGCAAATCACTGTTGTGGTTTCCTTGTGCTGGGAATGACAGCTGGCTGGATCATGGATCCACATCATCTGAGAGTGGGATTCAACAGGTTGCTTGTTTGCCAAAGAGATTCTTTTGCCACTGGGGTTTTTTTTGGTTTTTTTGGTGGTTTTTTTTTTTCCACTTAAGTTTCCTATCTCTCCTTTAGTCTCTCAGTGTGTTTGGATCCCTCCTTGCCTTCGTATGTGCCGAGAGAGATGTGTACCTACAGGCTGGGGCTTCTTTGAAAGCTTGGTCAGGAGATGAGCCATTGGACTTTGCTGCTGGTGGACCGCTGAGCGAGCTGGGGCAAAGCCATCACTGGGGGTGGGCATGGGACAGCTGCCTGCTCTGGATTCCCAAACCTGAGGGGCATTTTTCTCTCTTCCCCTTTCTTTTCTTCTCTCAGTGTAGCCTGTCTAGGAGGAACAGGATCCTGGCAGGAGTGGTGAGACCTTCCCTTCCTCTCAAGTCTCAGTGGCTGTGTTTGGTGAGGTTGGTGAAGATGAGACAGTTCTCTGTAGAAAGCAAAGGAAGCAGCAAAGATAAAAGGCACTGGAAAGAGCGTCCCTTGCCATGAAGTCCAGCCCCTTGCCTTCTCCCATGTCCCCAGAACACAAGGCCATCTCTTCGTTCCTTCCCTGTGCTGTTTGCTGTTCCCACTCCGTGCCGTGCCTGCAGACCTGGGCTGCTCCTTCCTTCCCTGGATGCCCCAGCCCTGTCTGCTGCTTGTGGCCACCGAGGAGATCTCAGCAGCCCAGCCCCGCTTCCTCACCTGTGCTGGCAAGGCCAAACAGCGTGGATCAAAGCGAGAGGGGGGGGGGGGGGCTGCTGAGGTGATGAAAGGCTTTGGAAAGCATCAGTGCAAGAGGCTGAGGGGTTGCTGCATCACTTCTGCTGCGCAAGCCCAATGCCTCAGGAAATTCTTCTATTGCCACAAAAGCATCTCTGCAGTAAAGACATGGTGGGGGAACAGGAGGAGGTCATTGCTTGTGGTGCAGGATCTAGGAGAGTACTCTCCCCTCTCCTTCAGGTCTATGGACACCCCAGTTCTCGTTTATAATACTAGGTGAAGTGTGTGAGCGATGCCTCTGAATCTATCCTTTCCTGGAGCTCTGCAGACTGGGGGAGAAGGGAATTGTGATTTGATGGAGGTGGAAGCTGAGATGGAAATTTTAGATCCTAGGTTATGTTTTAGGCTTGTTTCTACTTTTTATACAGCACTCACGAAAGCTGCTTTTGCATGCTGACTGCTTCATCCTTCACATATTTAACCACAGACAATTTGCTTTGCCTCCTGCGAGCGGCACATCCCACAGTTTACTGAGTGGGTTATGCCCTGAAGTGAGCTATGCATACACCGTGACGGGCCTGAAAACTGCTGTCTGTGCCAGTGGTCTTCCCCCATCTCTAAAGAGAGACCTCTCTATCCATAAAACATGGTATGAAGGTGTACGAGCATTGCCCCCATGGGATGCTGGTGGCATGGTCGGGCGGGTATTTTTTCCCAAAGAGCTGTTTTAGTTTTCCATATTGTACGTTACCAGCAAAATTAAGGTGAAGTTTGGTATATTTCTGATGGACCTCAGCTGTGTGCAGTGTTGGCTACGATGCATTCAGTAGAAGTGCAGCAAAGTAGCATTTCATGTCTCAGAATTTATGTGTATTTTATATATGTGTGTGTGTGTATTTTACATAGGTGTGTGTATATGTAGTAGTTTTGGTACACCTTGCATGACTCTGGTGATGACAGAACTAACAGCACTTACCGGTAGTTAAGAGAAAAGTTTGTGGGGTTTGTTTTTTCTGTTGTTGTGGAGTTAAACTGCGTATTTTTGTTGCTGTGTATTTAGCTCCAGTGTGGGATGAGCGTTTGGGGGAAAGGAGGGGTTTGGTAGGAGGGTTCAAGGCTCCTATTCCTTCAGCCAAGGTGTAGGAGCTCACAATATATTTCACTGAAGACTTTCATATATTCCTGTAACAAGAGCAGGAAAATCTACACTTGGCATTAGATGTTTTCTTTTGGCAGAAAAATGAATACAAAGGACAAGACTGGGGATTTTCTGTGTTTTGAAAGCATACTGCAGGGGCTGTGTTTCTTGTGGCTACAAAGCCTAGATGAACGTCACTCCAGGAATT